CTATTATATTAAGATCTTGAGTGTACTCAACAAGCCTTAATATAACATTTTGGTAGATACTATTATCAATTGTATCTCCATACAACTCCCAGATCATTAACCTAATAACTCTTTGTTTTCACACATCTTATATGTTAGCTTAACATGCCTCTAAAATTTATCTCCTTGAGTAAAATTTATCTCCTTGAGTGTACTCAACAAAAGATAAATTTTAGTTAAGTCAAACCCGTCATTCAGAAATATCAAATATTTCATAGTGTCAAACATATCCCTAATGGACCAACCTTGAGTGTACTCAACAAGTTGAGACGATTTGGGACTCTGATTTTTCACTATAATGATGGAAGGCGATTACAAATGTGACTTAATATTTTATGGAGGGATTTTGCATTCAAAAGTCTCATCAACAATGATACAATCATATATATATTATTATACATCTACCAAACAAATAAATATATATATAACATAATATAATAGTGTGGACGATTATGGACTTTTACGATCTAGTCTTCCCGAGCCATAAGGAAGACTAGTTGGTCAATTCCTATGGGGTATAGCATTGAACAGTATCAATGCACCATCTCCATGGTCTCTTCCTCTTCTTGTTTCTTCAATCAGTCCAGCTACAACTTGTATCCTATAATAGTTGGCACCCAAGTCTAAATGAAATTGGACTTCCAGGCCCATAGTAATAATAATAATGGATTCATAGATCGAAAATGATTAAGAGCTCGCAGACCCATAATAATAACATTAATAACGGGCTCGCAGACCCAAAATAATTAAGAGCTCATCGGCCCATAAAAATAACAAGAATAAAAATTAACCATTCAATACATCCATATGGTCGAATCCATAATCGTCCACTAATAATACATTCATCACATAAATGTATACCTATATACTATCTAATATTATATGCAAACTAGTTTCAAGTTTTTAGCAATTAAGGTCGTTTAAGCTCTTTTAAACAAATGGATCGGAACAATTAAATAATTAATTAATCATATAAATCAATTATTTAATTAGCGGGCATAATTAATTAAAATCAAATTTTAATTAAATATCGAATTGGAGTCCAACTCAAATTCCACAATTATAAGGCAAGATTATTTAATTAAAATCAAATTTCAATTAATTATCAAATTAGAGTCTAACTCTAATTTCAAACTTAAGGCGGTTGAATTTAATTAAAATCAAATTTTAATTAAATAACAAAATTAGAGTCTAACTCTAATTCCAAGATTTTTGGACGGATTTATTTAATCAAAATCATATTTTAATTAAATACCAAATTAGAGTACAACTCTAATTCCAAGAGGAAATTTAGGGCCAGACAATTTAATTAAAATCAAATTTTAATTAAATGTCAAATCAGAACTCAATTCTAACTTCAATAACATATTTGGGTGAATAATTTAATTAACATCAAATTTTAATTAAACACTAAATTAGAATCTAATTCTAACTTAAATTGAATTAAGATTTTAATTTAGGATAAAACTCCTAAATAAAATAAAATTTAATTTAGGGTCAAAATTTAATATTTAAGTTAAAATCTAATTTTAACGAAAATATAAAAAGTCGTCAACTTTAAATAGAATTTTAAATTGGGTCAAAATTAAAATTATGGGCCAAACCCATTTAAAGTATAATTTTAAAATCAATTCAAAATTCAAATTCAAAACCATTTGGAAATTGAAATTTGACCCAAGTTAAAATTTATAATCAAAGCCTCACAATTTCGAAAATTTCAGAACATTAGAGATTAACCACTGACACTCAAATAGTTATCCATGTGGAATTTTTCGACGGGTCTCCAATATTTTCTTCTATAACAAAACATCCCACGTGTTCATTTAAGTGTTACCGTACTTTAACTTGTGAGATCAGCTACTTAATTCACAAGTAAGAAATGTCACACGTGATGGTCTATCCGTAATAACGATATCTGTATCTCGTTATTACTTACGACCACGGACGATTTAAGATTCAATTATATATAATCTGTATCTCACAATCACAGCTCTTTGTGGTTAACAAATTATAAAAATTTGAATCTACAGACTCTATTATTTATTTAATTTTCTATTAATTAAATAATAGATCTGCCATTAAATTACATTAATTATATATCAAAAGTATTTATGTCTAAAGTTGATTAGATTTAGGACATAATACTTACAAAACTTCTTTTACTGTCAAACAAACCATTCCAGTCGACAAGTGATGTGGCGAAATATTCAAAAGAACACTTGGAGAATATGCATAAGAATGCAATGAACTTGATGCCACAGATAGAATTAACCATAAAATTCTCGGATGCTGAATCTTTCTTTTTTTATTTTTAATAGTCTAGTTTCACCATTGGTTCAAGCCAACTTTTAAGTTACAGGAAATGAGAATGAGAAATAAGAGGTATTTTATTATCAGCTATATGAGTTCAAATGACCTACGGGAAGCCCTTGTTTCAAGTTTCTCACTAAGTTTTCTTTTCAAAAAATCTAAAACTAATTGTAACGTCCCGAACTTTATTATTATTATTATTGTTATTTTAAATAAAAATGAAGCTCGAGATGCTATCAAAACTTTCCTCTATCTAGTTTAAGCGAAAATATATCGAAAATTCTCGATTTCAAATTATTAATTTAAAATTTAACTTAACACGTCAAATGCTGGAACCGTAAAACATATTAAATAACAAGCATAAAAATTTACGTAAAGTTATTCTTCAAATAAAAATGGATAATTATTCTTTTCTAGGAAATTTATTTAACAACCCCATAAGCATCACTCAGTCAATCTTCTACATGTCCACACGATCTGTTCTAATCTGAAATTTTAGTAAGAGTGAGTATTTTAAAAATACTTAGTAAGAATAAGTATACATTCTTATTCACGTGATATAAATATAAAACTGACATAACGTATCAACATTTCTTAAATTTAGAGTTCAAGGAATTTCTTGAGAATCCCCATATCCCGTAGAATTTAATATCTTTGACCAAATAATCCATCCCGTAGAATTTAACATCTTTGACCTAACGGTCTATCCCGAAGGATTTAACATAGAGTTCAACCCGAAAGCCTCATAGCATTTTATGCCAAATATTATACAAATATCAAGGAATAAGATTTTACCACTTTGTACGATATATTCTTACATCTATTGTCATCAAAATTCTTGAATTGATGTCATATATAAAAAAAAAAGGAAAAAGAAAAAGAAAAAGAAAAAGGAAACTGATTTTGTATGAAGATGAACTTAAACATTTCTTGAGATACAACACGTTCATCTTAAAACCTATATTTATAATTTTGAAATGTAACTTCTAATCCAATCAAAGGACTTTAGTTTTAAAATAATTCAATTAAAACTTAGTTGTCATTATAAACATCATTATATTAAATTCTAATATGACCTTTAATTTTTCGAGGTAACTGTAGTTGCGTTTCTTATTTTATATATGAAATATTATAATAATACACTTTCTTTCCTATTAAATAATTTGGACACAACTTGTACAAAATATTTTTTTCTTAGGTCCAAATTATTTTATTTAATACAAGCTACAAAATGAATATAATATTTGATATATTTCATCAACTTCTAAAAATACTTAAATATTCAACCCAAATAAGATTTACGATAATTCTAAGTACACTAAGCAAAATACATCATCAATCTTTGGATTTTAGTGTGACGACAAATCTAACATGAATTATTTCATTTACTAAGTGACTCATATTAAGTTTAGGTCCATATGAGAAATAATAAAAAAAAGTTCGGGGTGTTACACTAATAATCATGAACTCCACAGTTTCGAGATTAAACATATAATTGTCTTGATAATTAGTAATCCAAATGTAATAACCACAAACAGTTTCAAAATCAACAAAGCACAAAACGTGAAAACTTAAATGTACTTTCCTGAGAAAAAAATTCTCACACACTTCCATACAATGGGCCATAACTGTATCCTTGGTGTGAAACAGTGGAAAAAGGAATTTTAACCAACTAAGAAAGTGCATCACAAACTTAATCCAATGTCCAAAAGGGAAACACTTAACATGTTATTGGTCCATAAGATACTGAAATGCAACAAATATACACATAGGATATATATGCAATTTAATTGGTCAGTAAAGCTTCTGTTAGTATGGTCATAGGATGTTAGTCATCTTTTCCTTCACAGAAGCAAAAATTGCACATACTAACTTCAGTTTTATATAATTGGGGAATGAAGAAGTCACACACAAATTACGACAACACGACTTTAAATTGTTGGATAAATTGAGTGATTTGTGTGTAAATTATTGATTAACATAATAATTATAAATAATAGAATTCAATAATAATATGTAACTTAATATAAAATAAACGTGAGAAAAATTTAGAAAGCAAGTCTTAGGGAGTTATGTCAAGGACGTTGTTTAAAGTCGTGCTGCTTCCCTTTGTATGAGCACTTTCGACATTATACGTCTCCAAAATAAATCACATGTGGCTTACAACCAGTTCTCTTTCTATGGGCACGATCATAGAGAGATAAAGAACGAACATTTTTTCAAATTGTCAAAACTTTAGAAATATAGTGTGAAATATAGAAAGAGTATTTTAGTTATATCTCAAGTTGGGTGTTCTCATGTTGTGTATCTCAATGAAACTCTCTTTTATAGGGACAAATTTAACCCTCACAATCATGAATATTATACCAATTAAAATGTAAGTTACACACTAGGATTTATTAGTTTTAATTTTGTATTAAACTGAAAATTAAAATCAATACAGAAAATTAAAGGTTTTAATTTGAAAGTTAAAACTTTTATTCCAAAGTACAAAAATCTGTTTGTTTGATTCGAAGGGAGAGGACGGATGATCCAAGATTCATATTCTTGAAGCATTGAGCTTAGAAATAGTAACAACAAAAATTAAATCTGTTGCTTGAATAAACTCAAGTTATTTGCACACTAAAAATAATAATCAAAGTATACATTCATAGAAAAATAATTTTAATTAATTTAACCAAGTAATCATTATCTTTAAGATTTATAGACACCATTTTATGATAGAATACAAGAAAAAGATTTATTTATGAATATTTGAAAATTCTTAAGATTTTTTTAAACCCAATATTATGAGAATAATTTCAAAATAATTAAATCTATAGGCAGATTTAAAAATCTGCAACTTTTGATCATTCCATGGTGGATATCTGAACCAAAAATCTGTAAGGAAACTTCTTCTTGCAACTGGTTTCTCATGGGTAAACATATCAAATGAGAATTTCCCATGGTACCGTCCAAATCCAGATTCACCAACTCCCCCAAATGGAAGAGAATCTGCAATGTACTGCACTCAAGAAAAAGAAAAAATGAAAGTTTTATAGGAGAAACAAGCCGATACAATCTCTAATTGCATGTTAAACAACGCGTAAGATAGCAACTCGTTTTGTATTTATACATTTTCATTATCAAATTCATGAAATAGTCTTTTCGAGTTTATTTTTATACATTGTATCTCTAAAATAGAGAGCATATCGTATTTAGAGAGTATTTTGGAGATGTTCTTAATTCTCAACTTACTTGGATGATGGCGTCGTTGAAAATCACGCTACCCGAGGATGTTTCAGATGCTAACTTTTTCTTTAATGTTTCATTGTTGGTAAAGGCATAAATAGCTAATGCTCTTGGCCTAGATTTGATGAATTCAATACTATCTTCTATTTTCTCCACCTGACAAAAATATAGTTTTTGTTTATTGCAAAAAATTTAATTTACTAATTAAGAAACTCTTCAATTCTATATAAATATTTCTTTTTGTAGAAACACAAGTTCTTGAAAATCATCTATATGGTTCTCACAGTAATTATTGGGAGCAATGGACCAAATATTTCTTCTGTCATGATTTCAGATTTTAAAGGAGGATCAACCAAGAGAGTGGGCTCCATAAACCTGCATCCAGTAAACAGATTCAATAATTTACAATTTCCTTTTCGTCTGGTTTGGGTGCAACAAGGTTGCTTATAAGTTGGATCACTCAAATGATGGTCATTGAATGCAATAGAAGGTTTAGCCTACCATCACACACACAAATTAATTTACATATGAGATGGTTGGAAACTGACCTAACAAACGTATCCTTCTGCTTTCAAACGCCTTTAGTATGTTACTTTTTGCCTGTTAAGTAAGGCATTTAGGGTCTATTTGGCAAGGTTTGTGAAAAGCCAAAAGTTGTTTTTGAGATTAAGAAATTGCTTTTGAGTCCGTCTGGATAATTTTTTAGAGGTTTTTGGTCTGACTAGAAGAATTTTATAGAAAACTAGCTAAAGTAACGAAGCTCTTCTACAAGACGCTGAAGAGCAGAAGCCCTCTCAAACGGGTCATTAGCGAAAATTGAATTTGACCTACACATAAGACATGCTAAATATACAAATAAAAATGAGTAGATTCATAGTCTCTCTATCAACTTATCGAGGTGATTGAACACAAGAAGGAGAGGTCATTGACGGAGGATTGCACTTACAGAGCATCTTCATCATATGAACCACCATGAACAATAGTAGCTTTAACGCTGGGCTCATCTAAGAGTTTCCTTAGTCTCGAACAATGATTTTTGTTGATTATCCTTCCGACACTCTCTTTCGGAATTTCCCCAAACATACTAAGGATGTAGGCCTTTAGTAATTTTACCTGAAAAAAACATATAAAATTAGATAACAAAGCATTATTAAGGAAACCTTTGGCTTAATATATTTATTAGTAAATAACTACCAAGGTGGTTGAGAACTTCTTTTCCACAAGGATATAATCAATGGCTATGCATGCTTGGCCAGCACAGGTCCCAAATTTTGCAGCAAGGATTCTTTTCGTTGCAATCTAACAACAATATTAATCTCAAATTCTTAGACTGTTTCACACTAGGAGTCAATAAGAATATTACCAATATAGAAATATGTATTTACCTCTTTATCCCAAGAACTCGAAAGGGAATCAACAATGGCAGGGCATTTCCCACCCAATTCCACAGCGACAGGAGTTAGATTTATCGCTGCAGCAGTCATAACAATACGAGCCACTTTTGCACTACCTATATTATTTTTAGAGTCGAATAAGAAGACAACAGACGAGATTTTTGAGAACATCTAGTGTAAATAGCATGTCATCATGATCATAGCCAAGTAACTTGAAGGATGCCTAATTTAATTAAAAATTAAATCGAAAGTCTCACCATGTATGCACGAAAATAAGATACATAACCTTAGAAGAGAATTCCTTGCTTATTACATTACATTGTCTAATTACCTGTGAAAAAAATCTTGTCCCATTTCTGTTGTAATAATTTCTCACCAATTGAGGGACCTCCTTGAATCACTTTAATGGCTTTATTATCGAGGTAAGTGTGGATTGTATTGGCCAAAACTGAAGAAGATGCTGGAGCTAGTTCTGAAGGTTTTAGAACCACTGTATTTCCTGCTGCAATTGCTCCTATCAATGGTTCCAATGATACTCCTAAAGTTTATCCATGAAAAACATGATATTCTCATCAGACGAAAATTTAAATAAATAAATGTGTTCAGTCTTAAAGATCTCAAGTTTTTTCTAGAGGAGGTCGTTCAGAATGGTATCAAAATATACAAATTACAAATTTCTTAAGATCAAGATATGTCCATCCCCTATTTTATAAAAGTTGTGTACATCTTAGGCTTTTCATAAAGAAAATGAAACCGGCTTGTAATAAGTGAAATCTTACCAAAAGGAAAATTCCAACATGATATGACAAGGATAACGCCAAGTGGCTCAGGAACTAACTCTGCTCTCGAAGGAAATGCAGCTACAGGTAAATCAGCCTGGAAAATCCATGAAAGGAGGTAGTTCATAATCTTAAGTATAAATTTTATTCGCAGTAAATTTGGCGTCTTATATACCATGTTTTTTACTATTCAATTTATATTACATCAAAATCTAAATCAACCCACAGAGAGAGAGAGAGAGAGAGAGAGAGAGAGAGAGAGAGATGACCTTTTTGCTAGACATCCATTGCTTTAACCATTTTAATGCATAGTTTACAGATTTTATTAGAGGTCCTACCTGCAGACAAGCTTGGTTAGTTAATTGAGATATGAAAATAATAATATAATAGGTTGGAAACGACAAAATCTGTGTCACAAAAGGCCTAACAATGTGGACTGTCTCGAAGATCTTGCTCTCTTTGGAGTAACATAATTATAAAATGAGTTATGCCATTTTACCAAATTATTTTACAGAATTAGATTGTCAGAATGAGTTGGCAAATTGTGATTGGATTGTTGGAAAATATTTTTGGCCCAATTATCAATAAAATGCTGTCAAGTGTTAATCTGGCAATATAACATAGCTCTAAAATCTATTATTTTATGCTTAAACGGAAAACTGCCAGAACCGGAAAATATACACACAGACCATTGAGCATCAGACTCAATACAGTTGTGTATATAAAGCTGTCAAAATTTTAGACTGGAATAGTGAGTTTTCTTTCGGTATTTACTGTAGATATAACATTAATGAAATAGACCCAAATTTAGTGGCAACAAGTATTTCTGAACTGAATATGTATCTACATAGAATTTCCCGTACCTCGTCTCTAAAAGATTCGACTCGATGTTTTCCTAAATCTTGTTCAAGAGCCTTTAATATGTCACCCTCTTTTTCCTCGAGCAAAGAGAGAAGAGCTTTGAGTTGGGACCTCCTCCATGACTCTTGTTTTGTTATTCCAGTATTGAATGTGTTTTTTAACTCTTTCAACTCTGATTCTAAATTTCCTGTGTAATCCATAGTGGCAGAGAAGATGCTGCTGCAAACTGAACAATTTTATGTGCATTTATACTTGTTCACCTAAATCTCCGTACACCTTGCATAATTGAATTTCATTAAGAGTGTGTTTAATTGCCAATTTTGTTTAATGGAAAAATGTCTTTTTTTTTTTTTTTTTTTTTTTTGGCTCATTTTTTTGGCTCATCTTTGAATGTTGCTTCGACACCTTCATCTGTGAAAGGTTTCCTATGCAAAAACCCTGAACTTGTAGCATAACTCATTTTTCAATTTTTGTTATGTGATCATATTTTTCTTAAAAATAAGGAAAACATTTTTAAGGAAAGATAATTTTTATTTTCCTTTGCTCTCTCTCTTTTATCCCTTCTTTCTCATCTACCAACTAATAAAAATGGACAAGTATAACATTTTTTAGATTGAAAATAAAATTACTTAAGCACATTTAATTGACAATTTTCATGCAAATAATTTCTAGGCAATTCGATTGCCTATAATTTATTTTATTTTCATATAAATTTTATGCTCGCAATCAAATACACTCAAAATGTTTAGTCTTTTATCCTCTTTAATTCTACCTTTTCTATTGGATAGCGAATGACTTCCGTGTCAATATTATAGTATATAAATAGAAAGAAAATTACGTCCAACCAAACTACAATACAAATATATTGTGAGTTCAAGTCTTCTTTATAAACAATACAAACCAATCGATAAATCAAAGAAAGGGAAAGAATTAAGAGAGAGAAAGTTATTATAAGAGCCTTCAAAAATTAGGATTTCTTGATGAAATAGATAGGTTTGTATGCTACGAGAAGAGTAAACAAAAAATAAATTAACAAAAGACGGAAACTAATAATATTATGCCTAAATTAAATATTATTCTGTAATATTAAACATAGCTAACATCCTCCTTAAACTCACGATACTAACGCAAGAAGCAACGAGAGTATGGCAAGTAAGAAGCGACAACAATGGGCTGGATGAAATTTCGTGAAGAAGTCTGCAAGCTATAACGATAAAGAAACAAAAGGTAGGGAAGTGGTACCACATTGCAGATGATGGTGAATAAGATAACTGTCAATCTCAATATGCTTCGTGCGCTTATAGAGTACAGAGTTGTAAGATATTTGAATAGCACTTTTGTTATCACAATACGTAGGTAGTTGGAGAGGATGTAAAGAACACCCATGTCTACAAGTAACCAATGCAAATAAACAATTTCGGTGGTGGCGGATGTCATAGACTATACTCTGCCTCAGTAAAGGAATAAGAAATAACAACATGTTTCTTACTCTTCCAAGAAATGAGGGAATCATCTAAAAATATACAAAAAATAGTAGTGGAATTGCAATCAGTGGGGTTATTGGCCCAATCAGCATCAGAGTAAGCATGGAGCACTAAAGAGGAGGTTGATGGAAACAAAAGACTCCGAAAGGAAGTACCACGAAGATAACGTAAAATACGAACAACAATTGCCCAGTGAATTGTTGTTGGAGCTGAAATAACTTGACTAACCACGTGAACAGCATAAGTAATATCAGGACGTGTGATGGTAAGATAAACTAGACATCCAATAATGGTGCGATACAAAATGAGATCAGTCAACGGTATACCATCAGATGATAAATATCGAGCGTTAGACTTAAGATTAGTATAAACTGTTTTAGTATCAGCAAGATGAGCACACTCAATAACATCCATAATATACTTGAATTAGGAGAGAAAATAGCTCAAAATACAAACAACAGTTGCCCAATGAATTGTATTAGAAGCTGAAACAAACAAACTAACCATGTGAACTTTATAAGCAATATCAAGATGTGTGATGGTGAGATAAACTAGACATCCAACAATGGTGCGATACAAAGTGAGACCAGTTAAAGATATATCATTAGAGGGTGAATATGGAGCGTTGGACTCAAGAGGAGTATCAGTAAGACGAGCATGCTCAATAATACCCACAATATATTTCGATTGGGAAAGAAGACATCCTCTAGGAGAAGAAGCAACTTCGATCCCTAAAAAATAAGACAATGCACCTAAGTCTTTCATTTTAAAATGACCAGGCAATTCTGATTTCAAATTAGCAATCCCATCAACATTATCACCAGTAATAATCATATCGTCAACATATAGTAAGAGCAGAATGCGACCAACTAAATTACATCTAAGCAATAATGCAGAATCAAGATGACTGGATGTAAAATCAAGAGAGACAATAACAATGGAAATTTTTTCAAACCAGATACGAGGTTTTTTTTTTTTCTCGAGGTCATAAAGTGCCTTCTTGAGTTTACAAACGTATCAAGTAGCATGAGAAAGACCACAAGAGGGAACCATGTGAACCTCCTATTGAAGATTTCATTCAAAAAGGCATTTTTGATATCCAATTGAGAGAAACTCCACTGACAAACAGATGCCACTGCAATAAGTGTGCGAACTGTGGTGATCTTGACGACAAGAACAAAAGTCTCCTCATAATCTAGACAAAACTCCTTATTAAAACCCATAACAACCAATCTAGCCTTGTAAAGTTCAACTGAACCGTCAGACTTGATTTTAATCTTATAAATCCAACAAGAACCAATAGTATGTTTACTTGGAGGTAATGCAACCAAATCCCAAGTGTTTATCTTATGTAAAGTAGAGAGTTCATCAATCATAACTTGTAGCCAAAAGGGATCTAGGATAGCCTCTTTATAGGAAGAGGGTTCAGACAACTTATGAATGAAGGTTAGAAAATAGCAAAAAGACTCCGAATAACAGAAATAAGCAAAATCGGGTAATTGAGTGAACTTACAAGTACATTGAGGATATCGAGAAGGAGTAGGAATTGGAGCTAGAGCTGGAGCTGGATCAGCTATATCAGGTGATGCCTGGGAAGCCATAGAAGAAGAGGGGTATCATGAGCCAATGCATATGTACTTATTGTACATGAAGAATCAACAATACATGGTATATATGAGGATGGTCTATCAATATCATCAAATATTGGATCAATACTAGTAAGGTCAATTTGAATCACATCACGAGTATTATCAAGAATATAAAAGAACGAGACATGCTCAAGAAACACAATGTGACGAGAGATATATAATTTTTTATTAATAGGATCAAAACAGCTATAACTTTTTTATCCTTGCCCATAATCTAAGAAAAGAAACAGTAGTGAGAATTGCTTCACTCCAAAATTCAGTAGGAACATTAGCCGACAGGAGAAGGGAACGAACAATTTCTACAATGCGCCTTTGCTTTCATTTTCAGCAACACCATTTTGTTGTGGGCTGTTAGTACACGAGATTTGATGAATTATGCCATTAAGAGCAAGCAATTCAGAGAAATCAGTAGAAGTATACTATTTACTCAAGTAACATCTAAAGTACTTAATTACAACAGAATGCTGAGTTTAATAAGTGCTCTAAAAGAGCGATAAATAAAAAGAAATTGAGAACATCGTTTCATAAGATAAACCCAACAATAACGATTGTAATCATTAATAAAAGACATTTAATATCTAGACTCTCATTTTTATAGCAACAAGAGTAGGTATCCACACATCAGAATGACCAAAATCAAATGGTACAACGGAGTAAGAAATACTTCGAGAAAAAGGTAAAGTAAAAAATTTAGCTAATTTGCAACTAGCACAATCAGAAATGTCATGAGTTAGCGAATCTCCCAATTGACCTTTAGAAACTAAAATTTCAAACGACTAGTGAAAATATGTCTGAGGCTAGAATTCACAAATGAAAACTAGAAGAAGAAGAATTCAAAGTTGAAGATGCCAATTCAACACCACAGGCCACAACATGTAATGGTCTCAATTGTCTAGACATATAACCCTCCTTGTCTACCGCCTATCCCCAAACAGCTTATGAGATTGAGGTTTGAGGATCCTGCACATGTCAAGCAGTACAAGAAAATTGAACTAAGTAACTAGAATCACACAACTGGCCAATCGAAATAATATTCAAAGTAAGAGCTGAAATACATTAAATATCTGAAAACGATAAATTATGGTGTTAACAGAACCAACACATGTTAAGGGCAATGGAGTGCCATCAACAATCATAACTGACATAGATGAGTTAGAAGGATGCAAGTCCTTAAAAAAATTTAAGTTAGATGACATGTGTTTAGAAGCACCTGAGTCAAAGATCCATAAAGAAGAAATACGTGAAGGACTCTAGGATTATGTGTAGAAGCTGACATAGCATATGGCTATGTGACTAAGAACTTTTGAAGCTGCTTTGCCAAATCAGTCAACATAGGACTGGAAGAAGGTTGTGCTCCAAGCATAAACGAATCACCAGATGGCATGGTGATAGCTGTGTTAGAATTGAGACGATAAGATCAATATTGTGGCTGTTGCTTCTTCAATATCTTAGGACATTGAGACTTCTAATGTCCCTTTTGTTGGCAACAATTACACTTATCATTAATAATCCGCACATAACGTTTGTTGTGATTCTGTATGTAGAGTCGAGAGGGTACAACCAATAATAAGGTGCTAGATGGAGGAAGAGATACTTCACTTATAAGAAATTTCAAATGTGTTTCTTTAGCCATCACTAATCACTGAATCAACCAAGGAAATTGGAGTGCGATGCAAAATTGAGCCTCTAAGTCCCTCAAAATAACTGCGAATTGCCATAAAAAATTAAACTAATCGCTGCTCTTCTCCAAAGTAATATATTCCTCACATGCTTTTAGTCCTGCTGATTCTGTAAGGCCGACTCATCCCAAATTGAATTCATAGCAGTATAAAATTCAAGAATGCTCATATTTTTCTGTACTAAAGTCCATACATCAATTTCCAACTGATATCACTTTCTAAAGTTCGACTTAGTGTATAGTTTCTAAAAGTGATACCAAACCTCTTTTGTTGTTTCAAACTTAGCCAACTGTGTAACAGAATTATGCATCCAAGTAAGGATTTTAGCATTTTTTAGCTCCCAATTATCTAACCCTATCACATAATTATCAGCAATATTCTTGGGTTTCATAATAGTTCCACTAACAAATCTCACAATCTTTTTTCCTTTAGAAAATT